GCTGCCATCGGAGCTTGGCCACTGCAGGCCACTGAATCCGGAGAAATCGTGTCCACCCGGGCTTGTGCTCGGGCTTGGTTGTGCGGATCCCGCAACTGTTGCCGTATCGCCGACGTCCAAGTAGTCGCCAAAGTTGCTTCCACTGAGGCTCGTGCTACGGTACAGTGGTCCGGGGTGTGAAAGTCCACCGAATGCAGCCAACGGAGACGTATCACCGGCGCTGCTCAAGGAGAGAAGCGGGGAACCGCCTGAGGCCCGACTGCTGGTCTCGGGCATTCCCGCCAGGTAGGACGAGTCACTGGATGTCGGGCTGGTGGTGTAGGTAAAATGTGACGGGACGCTGAGTGTTTGGCTGGATGCCATGAATGCGTCTGTTGTTGCGTCGAGCCCGGCTTGCGAGTAGCTGTACATTTGGCTGAGTCTAAGCGCCATGTCGTTGTCGTCTGGTTGGTTCATTTTTGTCCCAAACAAATTCGGGGCCGTCAAAGTGTCTCAGCGAGGAGTGCAGTTAAATACCAAAAGAGTGAAAGCAAGAAATGCCTGAAGATAAGCCGGCTGTCCTGTCTTCTTTGAATTTGTTTTCTCCTTGCTGAAAATTTCAAAGTGGTCTCGACGCGTTAGACAGCAATGGCCTTTAACAATGCAGAGAAAAGGACAATTGTGTCAGGGTAGCCAGCATATGTATATATGCCAAATGATTTTTGTACTGCTGGTGTCTCCAGCATATCCCATATGTACCCTCTCCAGATTTTCTAAGCGGAGCAATATTGCCCAAATCGGCTCGAAAAACGGCCTCTTTCTTCTGAAGCGGTAGCTGGTAACAGTAGCGTTGAAACGGGACAAAAGGTGGCAACCTAGATGCGAGGTTGGAATGAAGATGTAAGAGAACAACAAAGAGAAACGTAGATAGAGAAACTGAACCGTGTGTAAAGTGCCGAAAAAGGAAGACTTCGGTCAAGGGGAACTGGCGAAGAAGAATCTGGCCGCGGGACTGTAAAGTGCGAGGATTTGCGCGACTTGAAAGATAAAAATTACATGAAGCGAGAAACTAACAAGAATGAAGGACCGAAGAGATTTAGGTTTGAAGGGATAGAACGATAAAGTAAGGACAGAAGAGGTCTCTGGGTTGGGGAGAGGATAAAGAGTAAATCACCTCAGAGTATGTGAAACTGAGAAGTTCTTGGAGCGGTTTACCGCAGCGAAGATGAAGAGGGGGTAGTATGATTATAGGAGTAAATGAAGGCAGAGAACGGATCCTCGAAGGGGGCTGTAAACCAAAATAGGCGGAAGAGAGGGCCAACGGCTAGAGGACAGGCAGGTAAGAGAAGTGCGGCAAAAATAAAGTAAGAAAATTCTAGAAAGGCAGAAAATGGACGTTGTTATTGTGCAGGTTAACCAACAGGAAGGAGTTGAAGTGTAGACGACAGCAAGAATGTGAAGCGCCTTACAACGAGGCTGACAACACGGCCGTCGTGGGGAGGCCACATGAAACGGCAAAGCGGCTTATTGATGGAGAGGGCTGCACAAACGAGGACAAGGTGCAGGACAAGACCACGCAGGAGGGTGATGGGTGATGGAGGCGGTCGTGCAAGGTGCTTTTGTAGCACTCCGTTGCACCAGAACCGGGGGAATAGAAGAAAGGGTCGGGTCAACGATAAAAAACCGCTGGTGTAGGGGCAGCATCAAAAGATGCGGTGATGCAAGAGACGGAAAATGGAGAAGGCCACAAGTGCGAGCGAGGCCCGACAGAAAGGGTGAGCAAAAGATTAGAAAGCACGGATCGGCAAATAGATTTGACCGTTCTTTTCGTTTTTTGTTTGTTTATCCTTTTGCTTTCTTCTAGTCTTCCCTGTCTTTGTTGTCTTTTTTTTTCTTCCGAATGCCGTGCGAGATACGACCTGCGGGCACCAGATGGGGCCCTCAGCCACTGAACCTAACCTTGATGGAATCGTTTCCAAAACGGGGCAGTATTGGTGTTATTCGGCCAAGCAGTCCGTGTTCCGTGGTAGGCGTGATATTTAAAACCGGCTGGTAAGGGTCACACTCTCAAGTTCCTGAGTCTGCAAAGTAAGCATGAAAACGAGAAAACATGCAGCAAAGAGAATAAACGATGGGCGCTTCGGCCTCGTCACCAGCGTTACGCCAGAGAAATTCAACGAAGCACACCCCCAGTATGACTGGTGCAAAAAGTGGTGTCAGGCCAGATTGTACACGAACGAAGGAACATGAGGCGACTGGGAGAAGACGAGGCAGAAGTACGGCCGCTTGTGGTCAGACACCTTAGCTTGGTCTGTACAAGGAAGGCGTTTTGTACGAGGCTGAACGATGTTCAAATCGCCGTTTTTCGTGTTCTGTGGTCTTTGATATTGCCCATGAATCGGCCCATGGGCCTTCCCTCACGTCAAAAGTACTCTGAACAAGTGCTCTGGAAGGCGACATGGGTGAAAGTGAAAACTATAAACAGCGCCTCCATTTTGAAAACGTCCAAGTCGTCTTGGCATCGGTTGATGCCACACGGATCCAGATGAAAGACACAGTATCGTGATGACCAGGGGTGCAGCAGGGAAAAGGCTTGGGAAGAAGAGTGGAGAGAAAATGGGTACCACTGACTTACGTTGGTGAGTTATGAAGATTAACAAAGCGGCCCGAGAAAACAGCCATCAGTAGGAGGGAAGCAGTTCGAATAACGGCGGCGCATATGCACCGATTATGTGAGTCTGCGGTGCAGGAACACTCGTGTATACGACCGCGAGAAAGAAAAGGGAACAATAAGGCAGGCGAGACACAAGGTGTCTGTGGACTAAAATGCAAAGATGTGAGGAACGAGGGCAAACTGCAAGTGGGAAAGGTTAGCGAGCAAAGCATCATAACAACGGAGTAAAATCGTGTCATCTGGCGAGACAGGAACCTCATCAAGGCTGCTGTGGTCTGAGGGTGGGGTGAGAGAGGCGTGACAGGGTGTGACCATGCGTGAGGTGTGCCTTTATGGTGGGGGCGTGTATCTTAAATATGACCAGAGCGTACACAATAGTGTAAATCGACGAGAGCGGTAATAGAATCAGAGAACAGGCCAATATTTGCAGAATATCTTTCAAAAGGACATAGTCGATGCAGGCAGGTATGGTTGAGCTTGCGGCCTTGTCTGTCTCTTTCGCATTTTGGTTTTTTTTCTCTGTTCTTGGACCGTCGTTGGCATTCCGGTTGTCTTTTTCTCTCGGTCGTGGCTTGCCATCGTGACCACGTCACAAATCTACCAAGGTAGACAGTATTGCCCAGGACTGGCTGAGAAGATCTGAAAGATGCGAAGCTGAAACGGAGCATCGGTGCTGCTTCATGTTTTTCCAGCAGCCTTGAAATTTCATACCGTCCTGGCATCCGCTGTGAAACACTCGTGGACACTGAAGAGGGCTGTGCTACCTGGGGAACGAAAGGCGACCCGGCACACGCGACGTACGTGGATTGGACATAAGGTAGCTTTGTCTGGCTCCCCGGGGACTGGAATTCTGGACAACGGATTCGTACTTGGTAGATGCTCTGCTCGGGAGACCAGGGGCCCCTTGAACGTGTCCTTCGGCCTCTTGGGACCTCTTCGTCACTAGGAAAAGGGACGATGGGGGCATATGGAAAAGCCACAGAGACCCAAGCGTAAACGTCGAGCAAGGTGCGAACGGCGTGGGTGGAGACAACATGGGTACGACCACCGAAAGCGTAATAAAACATCAGACATAAAAGAGATCATAAACACACGGAATGGTGGTGGGGGGGAGAAAGCCAGAAAGGAGACCATCGCAAATGCGATGACGCAGGGCTGAGCCACGCTCACTGCCCCCGTATGGAGAAGGTTCGGTGGGCCACACCTTCCCTTTTCTTGCTTCGTGCCTTCCGGATCCGCGGTATCAGACCATAGCACAGGCTAGGTTCTTTCTAGAATGAGAAGGTTTTTATTTGTGTGTGAAATGGGAAGGCGCCTTGTGTGGTTTTGAACTAGGTATTGGTATGAGGACAACGTCTCGTTCAGGATACACAGAAAGAAAAGCAATGATTATTCTGCAAGCAGACCCCGATCAAGTTGCCTCTGATTACGCGTCTGGCGAGGCATGTGTTTACAAAACAAAATCAAGCCCAGTTAGATCTAGCAACCCTTCCATATTCAATGAAGATGCACGGAAGGCGCGATGGGCCCCAGGCACAAGATGCAACGGAAAGTACGATGAAGCGATACGCCGTATGTCGTTGCCCCTTTTCAAGGAGAAAGAGCGACCATGGTAAGGCGACGAGGAGGAAGCCACAAGCCCCAGACAAATAGCATGGATTGCGTGGCAGTTAAGCAGAATTCAAGTAGACGACATTGTCCCGGACAGCGAAGCAACCGATGCATATGAAAATTCGTGTCTGCAAACAGGCACATTTACTCTGTGTGGTGTGCAGCGCGACAACCCTCCAATAGGCGATGGGTGTGTCTGTGTGCCTTGCTTGGACGCCTAGCTGTCCGCCTTTTGAGCTGGCCAATGAGAGGGAATGAACCAATGGATGTGTTGTACAATGACGGTGCGGTGGCAGGAACGTTCGCACGACATTGGACCAGTGTTCTGGTTTGGGGTAAAGAGCCAGCCCAGGAAGTCGGCCTTTGCATTCTTGTCGAAGGTGAAAATGGCAAGTGCGTTCGGGGGTGTAGAAAACAAAGGAAGGATACGAGAATTACAAAACCCACGAGCCTTCGCTAACCAAACTTAAAAAGTTGACTAACAAGACTCCACACAACAGCACCCACCCGAAAAGGGCAATTTTTTAGATGACCAACTGGGAGTGACAAATTGACTGACACTTCGAGCGGCCCCAAGCTACGGCCCTCGGGTGATGAAATACAAAAATAACCCCAAGAAAATAGGCCCGAGATGAAATGACGCAAATCGTACCAAAAAAAAAAAATTAATAAATAAAATAAGATAAAATAAAAAATGAGGAGCCGATACAGCGTCTCAGATGGTGTTTTTCTACAATCACTGTCCAAACGACGACTCTTCGTTTGGATCGTTCCTTCCAATCATGTACGGGTGAGTAACCTGCCTCCTTCCCGGTGAGCTCTCAACGGCAATACTAGCGTGTCGATGTACGACGCAAGACTCAAGGCCTTTGTCGAGTCGGTCGAAAGTTTGCCAGTCGGACAGTTTGGGGAAGAAAGAGCGATCCTCGTTCTCGAACTTCTTGTCTCCTTCCGTGCAGGGGGGTGGGCCGAACGGGACAAGGCTGAGCAACACCGAAAGAAACACTGCTAGTCACAAAGCGGGGCTAGCTTTGTGGGGCCCAGCAGATAAACTAACACGACCAAATCGCTTTTGTGGAGGGTCGTCCGTGTGGTTCTCTTCATCAAAGCAAACAATGGAGTGAGGCTGTGCATCCGCAACAGACGACGAAAACTCACACAAATCTCCCTTGTCTCCCCTCTTTTTGCACCCTGTGTCGCTCATCTTCATTCCCATTTTTTTTGCAGCCTTTGCTGTGGGCCAGGCCGGTTGGCCCATCTGCAGGTGTCATGTCCACAAATTCTAGGCAACCATGAAAAGACAAGACGTGAATGGTGCATTGTGCGCGGTGAGGTCTTTGGTCGGTTGTCGTTTGGCCTCGTCTTGTGGTCCTTGCCGTTCATGACCCCTTCCTTCTTCTTCCTGCTTCCTTCTTGCTGTCGCCTTTTTGCCGGGCATCGTCTAGATTCGGACAAGTCTCTCCTGCGCCATGATCATGTTCATTGCACGCCGCGTTGCTCATTCGTGTCGTCGTGCTGTCCTTGCTTCCCCTTGATTCGCAACTGTCTTCCGAATGCTTGGCAGTCCCCCTGCACTGGTCCTGCATGTGCCGGGCAGGCCCCATTACGTCGTCCAGTCGTCTTTCTGAGACGAAACGGCGAACGGCCAACTACAAACGACGATGTGCTGCGTCCCTGTATGTCCCTGTTGCGCGTTCGACACTAGGATGCCGGAATTAAGCATAAGCAAAAATAGAAACACAAAAACGGGCGCCTGCGCTTCATGAAGCCCAAAAGGGACACGAGAAAGGCGTGGGTAAAGGGGTTAGATCCAAAAGGATGACGACGCAGCAAAGCCGCAACGGAAACGTGGAAACGCGAGAAGCGTGGATTCAGTGCCGAACCAGACAGCTGTCACACAAAAGATGCGGGTGGGGGAAGATGAACAGCCGTTGAGAAGAGCACGGGGGGGCCAAAGACAACAATGGTCCAGAGATGTGTCTTTCGACGAGGACGTGAGACGTAGTCTGGCAGGAACCTAGACACCCTTCGTTGGCCAAAAGGAAAATGACAGTCTGAAAGAGAAAAGAAAGGCGACTTGTCAAGGTGCAGTTGAGCATCCGGGATTGTCTTTCCGCTACGCCTTGCGACAAGTCGACGGGACAAGGCTTAAAATGACAAATGTGAAAGGTCCGGTTTCGTAAAAAAAAAAATGTGAGAGAGAGAGAAATAAAAATTGACTGGGCCAGTGCAAAGTTAGAGAGGGTAAAATTAAGGAATTGTGTGTTGAGGATATATCTCTCATGCCGAAATAAAAATGTTGACAGGTGCAGTTTGTCATGATGGCTTTTTTCGCCATAACATATGAGGCTTTACAAGAAATTTTCTATTAAGAGTGTAATGCGTAACTATGTACTACCCCCCTCCCAAAAAAAAAATAGTAGCGTTCCAGGAAAATATCAAATGTATATTTATGAATACGGTAAACCTATTTGATTTTGTCAGACTGTCAAGACATCTGTGAACGTTTTCACTCGAGTAAAATAAATTAATCTAAATTTCAAGTATCAAGCTATTGGGGATAATAGTCATTTTCTATTATTTTTCTTTCTTCTTTTCTTCTTCTCTCTCTCTTTCTCTCTCTTTTTTTAAAACTTTTTTCCCCCCTAAAACATGTTCTGCACATTCTTTTATTAGCTTTGTAAACAAAACCTTTTGAAATAACTATAAACTAAAATGTATACTTCGTGAAAAAAAGGGGAAAGAAATGCAACCATTAGGGACAACCTGGGAAGTCCTACCGAAAATGCACAAGAACACATATCGCCTCAGCACCCATTGAACAGAACTTTTCACTATGTGCGAATAAGAAGAAAAGACAGAAAAAAGACAGAAAATGACACAAAAATGACAGAAAAAGGATAGAAAAAGGACAGAAGTGAAGTCGCCGACAATCGCATCCCGCGCTTCCAAGTTCGGCAACTGCGATCGAGGGAGCCCGCTAATCCATGGCGATCCGTATTTTGGTCACAGAAAAACGTAACTTTTGAGCCTCATTTGCACTCTGCACTTTGCTACCGAAGCTCGACTCGTTTTCTGAACGTTCTGGTTCCCAATATCGACTGGATAGACAGACAGATTGACAAGGCTTACCATGTGTGGTCGAATGGTTGACAAGCCCGGAACGAGGCGGGAGGGACATGGCCAGCCCTGTAGGCAGAGCCTCGGACAAAACAATAGGCAAGGCTGCGTCGATCGCCGAGACGCGCCTTTTGTTTCTGTTGCTACCTTTCGTTCCGCCTGTCAGCTCTATCTCGGCTCGATAACAACAAGCGAGAAGACGGTGGCTGTTCGCGATCGTGTCCCATCGAACCGGCAAATGAGTCCATTCCCCCCCATGAGATCGGACGAAGGAAGAGTCAACGGCAAGAGGAAGTGGTTAGGCAGGCTAGGTGGCAATTCACATAAACAACGACGCAGATAAAGGCAGTCGATATCGACCTCATACCATATCGTGGTGGCCGACGCAACGTCACCTCACGAGAGCAATATGAGATTTTTAAGACCTATTTGGCGGCATGCCGGCTGGATCTTATTTATTGAACCACCCTGTGCTTCTGTCAGGTAAATAGAGAGAACATGAGATGAGGATTCGATAAATAAAGAGGGAAAATAACCACGGGAAACGCACAGCACGTGCGAGCGAGAGGAAACGATAACTACTGCAAGAAAAGGAAAGAAGTCGGAAGAAAACGCCGGTTTCCCATTGCCCCTTGATTACCCTTTGCCGCAATAAATACACACAAGTGCGATCAACAGATGACCCAACTTAACGACAGCGAAGAAAACAAAGGTAAAGATAAAAAATAAGACGGAGAGACCCTGCGCTGTCAGAGACAACAACGATCGTTACAAGATCCAACTAGCACCACATAGCAAGAGACCCGCAAGGCGTAACATAGATAACAGTAAATGACTAGAGAGGCCACTACATCTCACCAATGTCCCGCGTCCGGCACCTGTGGGCAACTAGAGAGGCAGACATAGGTCATAGATTGAAAGAATTCCGGTCCATCCGACTACACGTCGTCCTCAAGGAACTTATAGACGAATTTGAAGTCGGCCTTCCGTCTGTTCATCCTAGATTAAAGGGGAAAATACATGTTAGCGAAAAAACCTTCTATGTGTCACGACTGTCGACAAAACAGAGGACAAACATACCATGTGCTCTCGTAGTCGAAGAAGCGGTACGTGCCCTGTTCAAACTCCTCCGTGATGCTCTTGGGCTCTTCGTGCCGCTGGAACCAAGTCTGGTACTGCTTGTGGAAGCGCCAGCTCATGTCCTTGAGAGCCTTGGCGGCCAAGTACTGCTGGTAGGTTCCCTGCTTGTAGTAAAACACGTAGAAGAGCGTGTCCGGGTCGATGCGGTTGTACAACCGAGGGTCGTCCAGCAGCGGCAGCGGCTCCTGCGGGTAGTTGGATGTCGAGTTGTAACGCATGTCCGGCACGTAGCGTCGCGGCGGCTCCGAGTCCATGGCCTCGGGCGGATTATTCGCGGACGTCGACAGCTGGCGCAGGGTGGTCGCCTGATTGGCCACGGCTGGTAGGCTCTTCGTCACCTCAAACGAGTCGACCAGATCCTGCAGCGACGCAGGCAGGTGGTATATCGACTCCTCGTCCCGGCGTTCCTGCTCGTCTGTAGCGGATGCTTCCGTCCCATGCTTGGCACCATTGGTAAAGCCATTCGTTTGCGAGGAAGCTAGATGACATGTTAGCAAAGAGAAAGCCGAGGTGTAAATTTGTGTGGCAAATCTAGAAACGGAAAGGTGATGGCACGTACCCTTGGTTGTTGTCTCTGTTGGCTCGGCCGGCGCGGGTGTTGCCGCGGATGTTGCTGATGCTGCTGATGCTGCTGATGCTGCTGATGCTGCTGATGCTGCTGATACTGCTGATGCTGCTGATGCTGCTGATGCTGCTGATGCTGCTGCCGCCACTGCCGCGTTCTTATTCCGTCTTGTGTTCTCTGCCTTGGTCGGCGCCGCAGCGGGTGCTGTTGAAGCGGACGCGGGCGCCGCCACGGAGACGGCAGGCGAGTAGGACTTGTCGGATAGTGCAGACGGCTGCGCGGGTGTTGGTTTGGGCGAGTTGGTTGCACTGGCAATCTTGCTGGCCTGGACGGCTGGAATGGACGCGGCGGTCGGCAGCTGTGAGGAGGAGACTGGGCCGGAGACGCCGACCGGTGGCGGTAACGGCGAAATGCCCAGATTCAGCTTGTCGCTCGCGGCAGCAGCGGCGGCGGCTGACGCATACTTGAGAACTTCGCCGGCGGGTCGCGTTGGTATGGATGCAGGCTTCATTGTAGACGCCACGGATCCATTGCTCAGAGTCGGCAGCGGCGTATGCAGCGTTGCGAGAGCTGGTAATGGCGACTTGAGCTGTGCAGAGGGTCTCCGTCCAGACGCGGCCGCCTCCGATACCCCTTGTCGTCCCTTACCCGTGGCCGCCGGTGCAGTTGGCGGTGCCGCGGGCTTGGACTCGATTTCCGGCGTGTCGTCTTGTATGGACTGGTTGTCTTGCGATGAGACCTTGTCGTTGTCTAGGTTCATGCCGAAGGCATCTTCGTTCTCTTCGAGGTTCAGGTCGTCGTACATGGTGTCGTCCTCTATGAAGTCGCTCTGCATATTGTCGGTGACGTAGTAGCGTATGCTCTCTTCGAGGTCGGCGACCTGGTCGACGTCGACGCCTCCGTTCTCGAGTGAGCGGCGGATCAGCTCCAGCTTGCCCTGGTGCCACTTATGTCGTTCAATGGTACGTTCAATTTGTGCCATGCGTTCGGCCTTGGCACCGTGCATCTTGCCGCGCTTCGTAGTTGCTTGGATGGCTTCGCCCTCCGCTTCCAGTGTCTCAATCTGCTGCTCCAGCTCGTCTACTTGGTTGCCGATAAACTCGGCCTTCGCGACCTTGGCCTGCTCTTTCGGATCAAGTTTCGTCGCCGCTGACAAGCCTTCTTTCGAGTATGCTTTTGTCTTCATGGCCTTTTCTACAGCCTTGAAGCGCTCCATTTGCTAAAGGAAGGGAAACACCAAAGATCAGCCACCAAACACATTTTTCGACGACACGCCTGCCTGTGAATGCCCGAGTCTCCCGGCGTCTGCTTGCATCGTGCTGGAGGAGGGGAGGAGCAAGCAAGCTTACCGTCTCAATCAACCTGCGGTACTCCATAAGCGGACCCTTGTCCTTGATCTCGTTGCCGGCTGCCCATGTCTTAATCTGATCGCGCAAACGCTGCAGCTTCTTGATTTCACGCTTGAGATTGTCTTCCAGCTTCTCTTTCTGAGCCGGGTTGTTGGACTGCTCAATCTTCTCGTAGATGGCGTCGAACTCGGCGACACCCTCGGTCACTTTCTTGAAGCACTTGTCGACCTCCTGCTGGAGTTTTCGTGCTGCCATGGCGCCGGTCGTTGGCAGCCGTCGCCAGGGAGGATGGAATGGTGATGGGTGGGAAGGTGAGGTTCACGTCGAATACGCGGCAGCGGTGTCCGGTAGATCCAGCCCGGGGTGTCGTCAACGCCGTCGCTGTCGTCGATATCGTTGGTGTCGGTGTCGGTGGATAAAGGGATACAGGGCTCTTGGTTGTGTAGTCGTGTGGTCGTGTGGTTCGACTTGGAGGACGGAGTAGGATGTCACAAGCCTGATTTGGCGTTTGAGGTCAAGAGTTAGGTGTACGTCCCAAGGTGTGCGCAGTAGCCTCGCGACGGTGACGGCGTGGATGAGGCTGATGAATGCTGTACGGAGTAATGTTCGATGCTATGAGGTGTCAGAAGGTGGCTGTGGATTAATAACCCGCCCTTGTTGCTCTTGGTGGATGGCGATTCGGTGGTCTTTCAGATTTTTCGCGGGAAAAGGTCAGCTTTAGTCTCATTTTCTGGCTTTCTTGGGAGGTTTTTGCTTTGTCTGTTGGCTAGTGATGATAGGCCACAGAGGCTAGAATGGTAGTACGCACCAGCCGACAGGCACTAAAACTTGGTAAGATAGCAAAGACGGGATCGAGAGGCGCGAGTAGCTATCGGCTAGGGATGCTCAGTAGTAAAATGCTGTGGCCCGCGTGCAAAACAAGACAGGTGTTGTGTGCCCCGTGAGAAAGGTGAGGCCGTTTGACAGGATGTGGAGATGTTGGCATGAGAAACAGAGAGAGAAAGAGAGTACGAAGGGAAGGAGTGGACGCACGGCGTCTGTTCTCACTGGGCAGGCGCGATGGAGGAGCAACCAGCCTGCAACCAGCGAAACAAAACTGAGCTGGGCAAAAAGTGGGGCACTCAATCCCAAACCTGCAGGCGGCTACCCATTTGAGCCATTGCAGCCCCTGGTGTGGTGGCCTATTTTGGCAACTTTATTTTGGATTTATTTTATTTGTCGCACTTATGCGGCACCAAACGGAACTAAGTCACGTGAAATGTCAAGAACGGGTGCACAGGCTAAGAGCCAACGATGGTACCAAAGAGATGGATATCCAGATTACTCGTCTTCTGATTGCCGTCATGTTGGCAAAGAGTGCGAAGATAGTTGAGGAGTCTACGGTACTGACGAGCGAGGAGTACTAGAATCACCCATGGAAGCATGTAATACATACGCGGATCTCAAGACACATTATCACGTGACCATGTCGGCAGCCTATCACATGCTGCATAACAGTAAATGTCCCGCTGAACAGAATCTGCAGGGTGCTGTTAGAGCTTGCCCAGAGCGCTGTAATACCAGCGAGCCGCACACTGTGGAGTGTCCCTGTGTACAACATATTACCTTGTGCAAATGCAACAACAGCATGTGCATCTGCGCCTGACACAACGACAAGACGACACAATGAAAGGTGTGTATTGTTCTGCGATATAATCTGTCGTATGTGCCGATCACAGACACGCTAACCTCATCAGCAATCCTGCAACGCGTGCTGTCGGCCTCGGTCACGGTCGAGAAGGAGCTCGTCTCGTCGATCGGCAAAGGCGTCCTTGTCTTTGCGGCTGTGGCTCCGGGGGATACAGAAAAGGATGTTGACTCGTTGGCCGCCAAGGTCGTCAACATGCGGCTGTGGGATGACGAAGAGGGCGGCAAGGTACGTGATCCGGGCGGTGGGTGTGGATATCGACCGTTACTGACATTGTCTACTGCAGTGGAAGAAGAATGTCCTGGACATTGGCGGCGAGATCCTGTGTGGTGAGTAAGGCCCTGTTCTGGGGCTGGATATTCGTCGTCCCGGCCACTGACATTCTAGTCTCACAATTCACGCTCCTAGCCTCGACCAAGAAGGGCAACAAGCCGTCATTTCATGGAGCACTGAATGGCGACGAGGCCCAGAGGCTCTACAGCTACTTTGTGCAAAAGGTGCGGGAGAACTTTGCAGCCGAGCGCGTCAAGGACGGCGTGTTCCGGGCCATGATGGAGGTCGCCCTGGTCAACGACGGCCCGGTGACACTGGAATTGTCAACGCCAGCCAAATTGGTTCCGCATACGGGACTGGATGTCCTGAAAACGATATAAGAAGAACATCAGGCACATGCGATGCACTCTAGAACTCACACGGCTCATGGATCCCACGTACATCAAGACAAATCACAAAAAATTATGGACAAACCGACAACAAATAACCACCAAAGAAACAAGTCTGATTTTGACGGATAAGATACGTTCCGACGCGATGTGAGGCTGTATGCAGCGTTGAATCGGTGTGAGGCCAAAGCGGCCCGTCGGCGGCAAGACCAACTGAGCCAAATCCAGTGGCTGCTGCTGCCTTCTGCGGCCATTGACGGTGTGAATGGTGTGTGGCGCGCCTGCCCCGCGCAAGAACCAATGCATCCATCTGATTCAGTAGGAAGGAGCTTCCCTCCGGCCCCACTTACGCGGCTTCCTCTCGTTTTGAGCCTATGGCATTGTCTAGAAGCTTCTACTCCATCCCTCTTCTGTTTTACGACGAGCCTTTTTGTCTCGAGCAAGATCCAAACGCAAGCCGCACCAAGAACAACCAAGACGAAACCCCACTGAAGCGTTGTGCGTAGGGCAATACGAGTGGGCAAGCAGTCAACAGCATTCGACCGATTTCGAACCAGGGCAACTAGCACAGAAGCGGAGCTCTCCTTCCTTTTTCTCCAACGCAATTGAACCTCACTTCTTCTTTTTCTTCTCCCGTTTTTCTCTCTCTTCGTCACTCACAACAACACACGTCACTCCCCACAGGTTTCTCGCAACCTCTCCGCACATTCACAATGGCAGACTCGACCGCCAAGGCACAGCGCCCCCGCGTCTTCTTCGACATCCGCGTCGGCAACAAGACGGCCGGGCGCATCGTTTTTGAGCTCTACAACGATGTGGTCCCGAAGACCGCCGAGAACTTCCGCGCCCTCTGCACGGGCGAGAAGGGCAACACCTCCGACGGCAAGCCGCTGCACTTTAAGGGCTCCATCTTCCACCGCGTCATCAAGCAGTTCATGATCCAGGGCGGTGACTTCACGGCCGCCAACGGCACCGGCGGTGCCTCCATCTACGGCGAGAAGTTCCCCGACGAGAACTTTACGCTCAAGCACGACCGCCCCTTCTTGCTGAGCATGGCCAATGCTGGCCCGGACACCAACGGCTCGCAGTTTTTTATCACGACGGTGCCCACGCCACACCTCGACAACAAGCACGTCGTCTTTGGCGCGGTGCTGGCCGGCAAGTCGGTCGTGCGCCAGGTTGAGAACATTTCGACCGAGCCGGGCGACAAGCCGAGCAAGGACGTTGTGATTGTGGACTGCGGCGAGCTCAAGGGCGACGACGCCATCCTGTCGGCGGACGCGCCCAAGCAGCCCGACGCACTGGGCGACCCGTACGAGGACTTCCCCGAGGACGAAGCCGAGACCGGTGTTAGTGCGACCGAGGCGGCCAAAAGCGGCGCAGCAGCAGGAGACGCAGCACCAGCCGACCCCCTCGCCGGCCTGACGGGCGGCAGCACCGCCACGCTGTCGGCCGAGCGCATCCTCAAGATCAGCACCGACTGCAAGGGCTACGGCAACGCGGCATTCAAGAACGGCGACTGGAGCACGGCGCTCGAAAAGTACCACAAGGCGCTGCGGTACCTGAACGAGGAGCCGGACCTCGACAGCGCCCCCGAGGGCACAAAGGCCGCCCTCGACCAGGTGCGCATCAGCGTCAACAGCAACGCCGCGCTGATGCAGCTGAAGCTGGGCGCCTGGCAGGAGGCCCGCGTCGCCGCGGGCAACGCCCTCAGCGTGCCGGGCATTTCGGATGCCGACAAGGCCAAGGCGTACTTCCGCCGCGGCCAGGCGCTGGTGAAGCAGAAGGACGAGGAGGCGGCGCAGAAGGACCTGGCCGAGGCTCACAAGCTGGCCCCCGCCGACGCCAACGTGCTCAAGGAGCTGAACCAGGTTAAGGCGGCGCTCAAGGCTCGCCGCGAGAAGGAGAAGAAGACTTACCAGAAGTTCTTCTCATAGATCAGTCGGATGTGCTAAAGGGAGCGCATGGGTAGACGGACGAGAAAGCGTAGGAAAAAAAAGAAGGAACATGTTACTATAGCAGCGACTGATGCATAGCGTTATGACCAAATGGGTTGAGAAGACGGCGAAACCAAAAGACAGCGAGCGTACATGTCTTAGGTGGTTAAATTTTTTAAAAAGGACATCTGTTAAATCACAACAAGAAATACAAAAAACGTATTCAGACCTTCACGTGAAGACAAGGCCGTTGAAACGGAGTGAATTTTGATGAAGACCTGTGACAATCTACACGTCTGCGGCACGGCGTTGTCCAAATCCAAGTTGCATCAATAATTGAGCGTGAGTGAATGCCATGGGATAATTGTTCGCGTAGTCTCACACCAAGACTCTGGCCTGCATTGCACACAAATGTTCAGATGTAGATACACCCACGTATTCACGTACATATCATTCACTTACCGTCTCGCACCGCCAACAGGTGCGTCTATTAATACACATCCTTTCTTCTCTCGTCTTTATTTTCTCATCCTGTCACTCTCTCTACCTTCCTTTCTCCCCTTTTCCCTTTGTCTTTGCAAGGTTCCTTTTTGTCCGGCCTCATCTGCCCGATACACATGCGAGATCTCGGTTCTGCCCTTCTGCTTTACCCCCTGCCCTTCTGGCATGTTATATTGCCATTTCCGTTCTAAATTTCCTATCCCGGATTATATGCACTTCAGGGACGACTTGGAAGCTTCCACCGTTAACACAACATGTCTGACGAAATCGACTTCACCGTGGGGCGTTGGCAACCCGCCAGCTCTTCGATCAGCGAATGCAATGTACCCCAGGAACCGCTCTCGGAAGACGCCTATATCACCAACTTGCGTCGTGAAGCGCTCTCCGGGGAAATCAAGCGAGTGGAACAGCGTTCCTTTGCCATGGGGCGCCACCCTTCGTATCTCGCCTACATGGTCGAGCAGAAACACCAGCAGAATCAGCTGAACGCTGCACCAAGCACACAGAGTGTGCACAGCGTGCAGCCAAAACGGGTTGAAGACAACCACCCCTCGTTGTCTTCCAATGCGTGGCAGACTCGCCGTCTCGGTTATTTGCACGCATCCAACGCCTCCGCGGCCGAGGCAGAAGCCAGGGATATGAACGTTTTTCCCGTCGGAGAAATGGATGCTCCATGGCCCAAAGAGATCGGACACGATTCTGTCACAGTCTTTAGAAGCGGCCAGAGTCACCTGGGGCATCCACCGCTTTCTCTCTGGCCTACACAAAACTCGGCCACCATCATCACCACGACCACTAATGTCAACTCTTGGCTAGCCAGCAAACAACCTCTCGCAGGGAACACAACCACTGCCGCCGCCGCTGCCACGAGTCGCAGCAGCTCTAGGTTCTTCGATCCCACCTTTGTTAGCAACAACGACAACTCAGCTGGTGTCAACGCATCTACCAGTGTACACCTCGCACCCATGCCTCGACTTCGGATCGACGCTTCCAAGGGGTCCTCTCGCGCGCCCCTGCAGCCATGGTCGGAGAGCAGGGTTGCTCACAACAGATCACATCTCGACAGCATACGCAATGTCAACGGCAACGCCACGATCAACAAGACGCCCACGGCCATCGTGTGCGGCGACGATACTCCAACTTCAAACGCCCCAACGAACCTGTTAGCGGAATCTACGTCATGGATCCCTTCGTCTGGTGCTGAGCTTCGAAGCTGCAGCAGCAACACCACCGGTGGCGCCAGCAACATCAACTACATCGGCACCAGTATCACTCAAAGCGGAGCGCCCTCGCCGGTCCAGAAGCAGGAGCCCTCGCAGCTGTCTCTCGAGTCACTTGTCATCAACAGCATCGATAATGTTGCCGGCCATGAGGAAACCGCCGGCCCCGTTCATGGTAACAACCCCACCGGCAACGGCAACAGTAGTCACGGCAACAACAACGGCAACAACATCAGCCAGCAGGAGACGCAAGGTGCGGTGAGCAGGCACGCAGACTAGCGGTCTGGCCCTCGCTTCACGGTACCGGCCGCCGCCAAGAGAACGACAACCGCATTGGTCTCGCGTGCACGCTCGCCCCTCCCAGTTCCCACCACCAGAGACGTTGACACGTCGGCCATCGTATCCGCTCCTCAGGGACCCCCGGCCCCGGGTTTCTTGCTACCCATGACGGGCTACGAGTTTGAGCTCAACCATGGCCACAACCTGCTGGAGCTACTCAGGCAGAAGCAGTGGGCGCAAGCGCAGCTGTTTTCGTGCAACGAGAACAACCGGTTTAAGCACACGCAGACGACGGCGTGCATCGTCGCCGTCAATGGACGCATCATTGGGCCGTACCGGGCAGAGAGTCTGCGGTGCTATGGCACAAACCCCGAGATTGAAGGTCTGCGGGTGACCATGACAGTGAATGAGGGCGACCGCAGACACATCGATGCCGCCGAGATCGACAGTAAAGATGCTGCGTCGATGCCTGTCTTCCGGAACGCCACACTGGTGCTGCGGCATCAAATTATTATGACGCATCCTTTGCGCACCTACCACCACCACCATCAGAAGCAGCAGCCACACCACGATTTCTCGCAGTATATGCCGTCATCGTCGTCCAACACGACGTCTATTGCGGCGCTAATGTCGTCTATATCCCAGCTACCTGGTAGTGACCGGGCCTCGGCACTGTCGACAAGCACCCGCGCCCGGACGAATACGGGGCAAAGCACCGCGAGCAGCAGCATCGGCGGTGGCACGGCTAGTACGGCTGCTTCGACGAGCCACCGCTACAGCATTTCGTCGACCGTGTCGGGCGCGTCGTCCACGGCTACTTCGTCGTCGTCGCACCAACAGGGCGGTCGTCGGTATCTCTTTGCCACAACGACCATCCCCCTGTACGCTGGTATCGCAGCCCGGCCGGGATACCGCCCTATTGAGGCCAGCGCCGCCGCCGAGCGCATTCGCGAGTGGGGCGGGCGGCCAGACAAGGGCGTCTTTGGCAATTCGTGGCTCGTGCACATGGCAATCGAACCGCGTCACGTCCAGCATGACATCGATACGAAGATTATGGAGCAGGTCCAACGGCTGACGAGCCATCGCAATGGCGGGGGTCGAGTCGATTATGGTGGTGGCCCAGGTGCGCCAACGTGTGATGCGACAGAGGTCCAGATCATGCGCATGGTCAATGAGAGCATGGCGAAGATCGTGGCCCGAGAGGGAACGCTATCGGTGATGTTGTCGAACCACATCACTCAAAAGAGGATTGCGCGCCAGTGTCCCGATCTGGTGGCCATGTGGGTGATGGCCCAGGAGCATCTGTGAGCTAGGTGTACGTACATCCGCCAGGCCATGTCGGCTGCTGAGGAAACACAGATCGAGAAGGGGATTTCAAAGATAAGACAAAGACATCAGTGTGGCATGTCGGAAAGAAAGTACCGAATCAGATAAAATGAAATAAAAGGATTTTTGCCTTTAAAAGTATGTACCGGCAGTAAATACTTGCTATTTTGCCCACCGGGATATCACTGATTCAATTATGGGCAGTTATTTCAGAGTAACTGCTCTCCCCTATGCCGCCGCCATTTGTTTTGTGGCTGTGGTTGCTGCTGGAACTGGTGTAGCAAGCTCTTTTTCGGATTTCGACTCGGCTGCCGTGGTTTCCAACCCGAGCACCGCCTGCAGCTCGTCTGTCTCGGCATGGTCCCGCGTGTGTTTCATGCGGTGACACCATGTCACAGACACGGCATCGTCTGCGGTCGATTTTCGAAACAAGAACTCGCCGCCGACCTGGCGATGGTTCCCCGATTTGAGCGCCAGCCCCCGCGGGAGCTGACGCAAGCCCTGCGCAATCGACCGGAACGAGGACGCCCAAATGTTTGTGTGCTTCATGTACGCGGGTGGCGGGCCCAAGGAAAGTGTCGACACCATTCCGAACTCGTCGTAGAGACGGCGCGTCGGGTCCGCGTACACGGGGTACACGCACTCGGCGACCTCGACATACATATCAATCAGCGACGGATCACCGCAGCCCACGACGACGATCCGCGAAGGCGTAGGTGCTTTGGAAAGCGTTGCGAGCGGGATTGCCTGTGACAGGAGGCGAAGGTACTCCTGGCAGTTCTGGAGAGGGGAAATGTTAGCAAGGAGCGCCTGGAACACCACCATCCAGACACTAGGTCAGAAGGCGTACACCGCAGAAAAAGTGCCGGACAAAGACGACGAGCGTCTGGCCCGTAAAGTCCTCGTACAGGCTCTTGAAAGGATATGATTTGCCCTCGCGGTCGAGTACGGGCAAATCGGCAGTCTTTTTTAGCGTGCCGCGCGATGGCACGTTGTTGTCGGTGCGGACGGTGCCCGAAAACTCTCGCTGATTGACGTTGTCTTCGCCCGGAAGAGCGCAGGCTGGCGCCGGTGCATCGGTAGTGGCCATATCGTTGTGGGATTTGCAAGAAGGGTGTATGTAGATGCAAAGTTTAGAAGTCAAGTCGACGACGGGAAAAGGAGGCTGACGAGACGAGATCGTGAAAAGGGAAGGAGGTGAGACGAAGAAAATGGAAAGAGCAAACAAGAATACGTCGTCGAGGGCAGGAGCTTGTGATGCACCCAAAGAGGAAAGGTCGATCGGAGGGGCTGCCCTCTGTTTGGCAAGCCGGGACGGGCCAACTTACAGCTCGCTCGGCACAACCTGCTCTACTTGCAGCGCTGATCCGGTGTTGAGTTTCATCCGCGTTAGAGCGCTAGCTAAATGTGTTGTACAAGACCCCTTTTTGTTACGACAGACTGGATCAACAACCTGGATATAGGAATTATGAAAGGAACGGTGACAATAAGAGGCCTTTGAAGAACTGAAAATCGAGTGAAATAAAATTGATTTCGCTCTAGTTCGTTCTTTTATACAATAAGTAAATAAATAAATATAAAATAACTAAACAATGTGAAAACTTCTGATCACAAAGAGAAACAAGAGTAGTATGATTTCTCCATGATTGATGCTGTGTCGTACATGCTTCATCTTAAAACGTAAATAGCGGCAACTGTAGCAGAACTAAATACAAATACCCCAAAGCTGTAAAGTACACAGTATTGCTAGCTTGTATACCACATTTCATTATCACCAAGACTCAAGACTCACGATACAACACATTCAAAATGGGAGTCACCGTATGGAGCACATCAAATCTAGATAAAAACTGCAATTTTCTCAACCAGAGTGCTCGTCCCCTATTCTCCCTTTACACTCCTCTACGGCAGCCGGCATCGTCTTACATAACACCCCTATCTATATTCGTGCTCACTCTACCACTCTTCCTGCGCCTTCCCATTCGAAATACAGACTTCTCTCCTGCCATCCTTTTGGCGAACAAATAACCGTATCCACCTTGTTGCATTGGGCCTCGGTCATCACAGCACCTGGGATGGTCTGTACCCTCCGTGAGGGAAACACAGTTACAGTCTTGCAATATTGCCACGGCCAGTATGCCGTCTCTTGACAAGAGACCCCAGTTCTATGGGCAACACGGTACATTTCCAGCTACATCGGACAGTAGCGGCCTCAACGTGAGAAGCTCAGGGGCCGTTGCCTGCCCTGCAAGGAATATGACGATACTGCCTTTGAAAGCTGGACGTCGGCCACCAACGCTAAATCTGCAAGTGGAGGAGGCGGCCGAGCGTCATTGGCCGTGGATCTCGTATCCACGTGGCGTATGTTGATAACCGAATGATTCCGGCTCTGGAGGGACCTTGGATGCATATTGTCACCACCATCTGTTGTCTTCAGAGTGGGCCATTTGTCGTGGATGAGACATGCCAAAAAAATGTCTTTTTTTCTTCTCCTCGCCTTTGTTCAGACTTTCATTTCCCCAGACACTCAGTCATAGCCCGAGCCGCCAATCTGGCTGGCAAAGCCCGCAGTGCTAATGCTCTGCTGGTCGTCGTCGTAGCGCCGGTAGCCGTTGCCGCTCGCCAGGCGTCCGCTGTTCTCGACGTAGTCCTTGAGCCGGTCGCTCTGGCTGAAGGACGTCATGCGGCCGTTAGTTACCGTGTCGTGCAGGCCCGCCCCGAGGCTGACGCCGCCCTGGCCCACGCCCTTGCCGCCAATCACGCTCGAGCCCGCGGTAATGTCGGTGTACTCGGAGTTGGCCACACTCTCGCCGGCGACGCTCTCGGCACCTCCACCGCGGTTGCGGCCTTTGCCGCCCGAGCGGCCCATGGCGCTGGCACCGGGCAGACCGGGCCACTGGTCAGGGCTGAAGCTCGAGAACATGGCCGGGTACGCGGAGCTCAGGTTGGCACCGCCACCACCGCCACCGCCGCCGCCACTACCAATGGCCGAGCTGTGGATGGACGAAACGTCGTCGGGGATGTACGACATGATGGAGCCGGTGTCAAAGTCGCGCGTACCGCTGCCGTTGTGGCCGAGGTGGTTGTGCTGGCCATGGTGGCCATAGCGGCCACCGCCAGCACCGACCGGACCGCCGGGGCCGCCGTGGCCGCCACCGTTGCCCAAGCCGCCCACACCGAGGCTGGCATTGCTGGTCTCGTTGCCGATGCCGTTGCCAAACACACGCGGCGGGCGGTGGCTGTTCTTGGGGCGGCTGAACTGGTGCAGAGACGGCTGCAGGTTGCTCAGGGGACCCTCGACGAGGCACTTGCTGTCCTTGTAGTGAACCAGCAGGTAGTACCAGAGGTCGTGCTTTGCGAGGACCTTGGGGTTGCCGATGATGACGAGGCCGTATTTGGCGCGCGTCAGCGCGACGTTCAGACGGCGCGGGTCGGACAGGAAACCGATGCCGTGGTTCTCGTTGGAGCGCACGCAGGACAGCACAATGTAGTCCTTCTCGCGGCCCTGGAAGGCGTCGACGGAGGCGACCTCGACCTCCTTGTAGCTCTCCTTCTTGAAGGTGCCCGTGTTCTGCATGGTGGTGACAATGTAGCTGCGCTGGCCCTCGTACGGCGTGATGACGCCAATGTCGGCGGGCTTGACGCCGGCCTTGAAGAAGCGCGTCACAATCTTCTCGACGTTGGACGCCTCGGTGCGGTTCAGGTACGAGGTGCCAGACGCCGAGATCTCCTCGTTGCCCAGGTTCGACCAGAACATCATGGGCGTGTCGGCCACGGGCCAGGGGAAATCGATGTCGCTGCGCAGGCGCTCCGCGGTGCTCACGCCGTTTTGCAGGGAACCGTCGTAGAACATGTTGGACGGGAACTCGGCCAGGTGCGGGTGCATGCGGTACTGCGTTTCGAGGCGGATGGGCGAGAAGCCCAGCTTGACGAGGCGCTCAAACAGGGACTGGTTCAGACCGGCCTTGGCGGCCTTCTTGTTCATGATGACAGGGCCCAGCTGCTTGTGGTCGCCGACTAGAACAACCTGTTTGCAGCCCAGAACCAGCGGGATCATGCACTCGGGCTCGGCCGATTGGGTCGACTCGTCGATGAGCACGTTGCGGAACTTCATCTTGGACAGGCGTGGGTCGCCCGCGCCGACACAGGTGCAGCAGACCACGTCGGCGTTGCTGAGGATCTCGCGCTCGGCCGCCTTGGTCAGCTGCCTGAACTTCTTTTCGTCCGCGCTCGACAGCTCGCCGATCTCGTTCTTGAGCTGCTGCAGGCGGGCCAGCTCGACGTTGGTGTCGTTCATGCGGACCTGCTCGTGCAGGGCCAGGAAATTGACCGACGACTCGACGTCCTCGCGCGACTTGGCCGTCAGGCGCACGACCTTGAGGCCGGTGCGGTGCACACGCTCGCACAGCTGGTCGACAGCGACGTTGGACGGTGCGCACACAAGGACCTGGCTGTTGTTGAGCTTGGCCAGGTGGTAGATGATGGTGGCGGAGGTGACGGTCTTGCCGGTGCCGGGTGGGCCCTGGATCAGGCTGAGCGGGGTGGACAGCACGGCCTTGATGGCACTGATCTGGCTGCCGTTGAGCTCGGGCAGCGCGGGCGCGGTGAACTTCTTGGGTAGGGTCGTCTTCATGGGCGCAACGGCGACCTCGTGGCCAAGCAGCTTGTGGAAGATGTAGCCCGAGACGCTCAGCTCGTTGACGGCAAAGGTGCGCATGGCCCACTGCATGCGGTCGTACGAGGTGGCCTTCCAGACGTAGTCGGCCGAGAAGTTATGGGTGCACTCGGTGGGTACGGACTTTTCGTTGCCCGTCTTGCGCAGCTCCAGGGTGACCTCGTCGGACTGGTTGTTGGGGATCTTGACGACGTAGCCGACGCCCTCCCAGGCCGGGCGCAGCTCGCCCTTGTACTTGAGACGCATCTCGTCGCCAACGGCCAGCTTGACGTCGCCGGACTCGATCTTGGGCAGGATGAAGCTGGCCATGTGTTTGTTGTTGAGGCCAAAGTCCCAGCGGATGACGAGGTTGTCCTCGGACTGGGCCTCCTTGAGCTTCTTGTCGTAGTCGGACTCCATCTTGACGAGGGGGCCGAAGATGTTCTGGTGGTGGTACGGGTCGTCGTACTTGAGCAGGACGGGGTGCGGGTCGTCGTCGACGCCGGCGGCGGCATCAAGGTCCTGGACGGTGGCGCTGGCGTTGTCCTTCCACATCTCCTCGAGGCGGGCGATCATAGCGGCAGGGAGGTGGCGGGCGCGCAGCTGCTCGGCATCGCTGGGCTGGGCAACGAGCCACGACAGGAACTGGCGGTTCTCGATAAGGGGCTGCCAGCGGTTGATGTCCCAGCTCATGTCCTTGGCGGAGGTGTTGGAGACGCACGACTGGCGGCACAGCAGGACGACAACAGTGTCGGATTTGGCGGGGATGAAGCCGAGGATGAAGACGTTGCGGTTGCCGCAGTTGTAGCACTCGAGGACAGTCTCGCCGAGCGAGGAATCGGGGTGCAGCTGGACCTCCTTGTGGCGGGCTCGGACGAGATGGTTGACAATGTGCGAGGACCCAACGTTGCCGCGGGCACTGCAGAACCACTTGTTGCAGATCATGCACTTGACGACAGAGGCGGGAGAGTGGATGCCGCAGTATCTGCGGTAGAGTTAGCGCAGAGCATGGACAAGAGGAGCGAACAATAACGATAACAAAAGACATAAAAAAAAAAAGAAAAGAAAGAAAGAAACCTACACGCAAGCATGGGCAGGCAGCTCCTGCTCCTTTTCTTCCTCCTCGGGCTCCAGCTTGGCATATTGCACGTTGTCGGCGAGGGCGCTCACAACGCTATCGTTGTCCGCGTCGTCAAAGGCAACCTCGGTGCCGTTGTCGTTGTCGTCGTCGTCCTGGCGGCGGCGCGTGGCACTGCCCAGGCCGTCGTGCCCGCCATACTTGTTGTAGAGCAGGTTCTCGTCGGGGTCGATCGAAGACAGGTCGTCGTTGTCGTCAGCCTTAATGGCGGCCGCCGAGTCGGAGATCAGGTGGTTGCCCACATGGTTGAAGGCGCCCTCCATGGTAGGGCGCTCCCCGGGTCGTGGGTCGGTGGTAGCGAGCGCCGAGGGACGCTCTGTTGTCGCTATTGTAGTTGGTGACGATCGGGCGCTGGAAAGAAGGTGATACTTTTGTCGGGTCTCGAAATGTCAATGTAGTTTTGGGTCAAGAAAGTCGACGCTTGAGTGCCATCCGCCTGCGGTGTTGCGACATGCGTGCCTGGTTGCAAAAGGCAGCGGGAGGCGGATTGCAAAGGAGAGGAGAGGCAAACGCGAGGGGCGTTGTCGACGTCGTGATTCCGATGATTGGTCCGGTGAATGCAAAGCCAGTCGATTATTATCAGGGAGCCAGCAAGCCTTGCCTGTTGTGTGCGGGGCAATTTTGCTGGTCGGTATTTGTTAGCAATTTTTGCCTGTCGAGGCTCGTCACGTGCCAGACTGACAATTATTGAGTGGACCTGGCTTATCGATAAGACTCATCACCAACTTTTTTTTTTAGTTACAACACTGGGCGACGATTTGTTGCATCTACACTGTGCCTTCGTCGTCACGACACACAACACACACCCATATCGCAGCGTCGCCTCGTCCGCCATTATGCTTGTATGTTCTTTCTTGGGACACCATTGCGTCGTTCAGACCACTACAGTTCTATCTACTAACCCTCCCAGCGTAAAACAGTCCGCCAGCGGAGAGACTATCTCTACCGCAAGGCGATGATCCTCAAGGAAGCCGAGATCAACGAGAAACGCGCCAAGCTGCGCAACGCCATTGCGCAGGGCCGGCCGCTCGAAAAGGCCGTGGCCAGCGACAAGAAACTGCGCAAGGACTTTGCCTACGACGAATCGCGCGAGGACCTCGATGCCAACGCCCAGCTCGACATTGACGACGAGTACGCCCAGATGAGCGGCCTGGTCGACCCGCGCATCCTCGTGACGACGTCGCGGTCGTCGTCGACGCGCCTCACGGCCTTCAGCAAGGAGATCCGGCTGCTGATCCCGACGTCCATCCGGCTGAACCGCGGCAACCTCGTTCTCGACGACTGCGTGCGCTCCGCCAACTCGGCGGGCCTGACCGACATTGTGCTCCTGTCCGAGCACCGCGGCACGCCCACCGGCCTGGTCGTCTCCCATCTCCCCCACGGCCCGACCGTGTCCTTCTCGCTCCACAACGTGCTCATGCGCGGCGACATCCCCGGCAGCATCCGCGGCAGCGTGTCCGAGGCGTACCCGCACCTCATGTTCGAGGGCTTCACCAGCCGGCTGGGCGAGCGCGTGTGCAAGGTGCTCAAGCACCTGTTCCCACCGCGGGATCCGATCACAAGCAAGACCAAGCTGTCGAACCGCGTGGTGGTGTTCAAGAACATTGAGGATGTCATCGAGGTGCGGCATTACGTGTACGTGCGGACGGCACACGACGCCGTGGAGCTGTCCGAGGTTGGCCCGCGCATGTCGATGAAGCTGTTTGAGATCCGCAGCGGCACACTGGAGAACAAGGACGGTCACGTCGAGTGGCACCTGAACCAGTTTACGCGGACCAGCCGCAAGAAGGACTACCTGTGAGGGGGCGATGGTACGATTAGGCAATCTGGCGGAGCGACAGAGCCGGGGCAAGACAGAAGCGGCTCGGCACTGCGAAGAGACAAGCGGCAATTCGCGGGATTTCTTACGGAATTTCCACAGTCACAGGAATGCACGATATAGGACCTCCAGGCAAGCATGGCCCTAGAATGTCCAAAGATGGGCAGGCATTCGACACCGGAAACGAGGCTCCACGGCTGCCGGGCTGCTGGGCACGAACAGAATCACTCAGCACGTTGCCCTTGAGCAGACCACAGCCTACCATTCCGTCAGCATCAGTGTGGCTGCTTGGCTTTGGCAGACAAGCACACTGCTGCACATACCGCACATGATGTGCATGACGTTACGATCATAGCTCATTGTAAATAGCATAATGGATTAAAAGCGAACTCTATCTTTCAGCACAGATGCGAGAACTTCGTGAACTGTGTTGAGAACCACTCTGCCACTGCCAATCCGCGTTCGACCAGCAAGCCTTGTGGAAAGCTTCTCGGTTAGGCAGCAGAGTTTATGTCTATTTCCACTTCTATTTTTGTCGGCCTGCAGCAACGACTCACCAGACTATCGACTGCACAAAGTGCTGTGCATGTCTCTCCACAGCCTTGCCTGAAAAGCGATGGGCGACAAGTGACGTATTTTAGGGGCCAGAAAGACTGGTTCTTGCAAGCGGATTCACGTTTTCGACACTGTCTTTCAGCAACACCTGCTTTTGCGGCCAAGTCTCAGCCTGATGAACCCGCTCAAAAAATGTGGGTACGGGACCGGCCAAGCTGGGCGACGCGGCCGCTGGGATCGTATTTGCACCGATGGGGTTGGCGGGACGGTGAACGCCTCTTCGTAATACTGACTCCGGAATACTGAGGATAAACAGTGGCCAGGCCCTTGCTGCACAACTGCGGGCCCTGGGGTCTTGCCAGAACGTCCCTTGTTGTTGGCCCCGTTCTTTCGCATCGCTAAAACTCAATCTGGCGCTAGTCCAAAACAGGAAAGATATTGGGTGGTGCCCGGTCGTTATTCAGGCTCAGTGTTCATCTTCATCTGCCAGTTTTTGCCTGTGCGTCGTTGCTCATGGTTTGGTGTATTGGTCCTCATTTCGGGCTCATTTCTCGAGTTGACTTCCTCAATCGCCTCTGGCAGGCCGACAAGATGCCGCTCTGTCCGACTTAGTGTGCCATTGAGAGAGTGGACTTGGATAGGTCGCGCCTTCCTCAATCCGCCTTCCACCGTCAGCCTCCTCTCTTTTTGTTTCTGTAGCCAGTCCACATCTGCTGACGGCGCCTGTCAGCCCGTAAAGTCAAAGACTGCTGGCTCGAAGGATATATGTTGTATCCGCAGAAGCCGGGGGCTATTCCGTTTTGACTTTTCAGTCCTTTCTTCTCTGTTATTCGCCTTGGAAAGGCCTCAGCCACTTTCGTCAACCTGCAAGTGGGGCGCCTTCCCTGCGTACCGATAGTGCACTCGTAAACTGTCCCAAACGGATCCACACTGCCAGCTTACCTACGCTCCTTCTTTCTTCAGGTGACTGGTGCGAATCCACCAGAGCCACCTTCCACAAAAGCGGCGCGTCAAGGCAGCAGAGTTAAAACAAAGCCTGGCTACACAAAGCACACAGCGCGCCTTCCGTACAAAGCATGCCGCACGCCAAAAACCGGTTCATGTAGCAAGTGCGAGCGAGCAAAGGAATAAACGAAGATGCGGCGACTGAAGCAATGCTCATAAAGTCCGGGAAAGAGCAACTGATTGAACCATGAATCTCACGGGAAGGAGCAAATGGCAGCACAGAGCACAGCTCTGCTCCACACGGTCCTGCCCAAAGAAGCAAGAATGTCAGACTGGAGCTTGTTTTTAGCCCCATTTTCCGTACAGCCTGCAGCGCTGCAATGACCGCTGAGGATTACTTACTGCACTTGCCCACGTCCCCTGTCGTCTGGGCTTGGTTTCTTGTGCTTGCTTGATTTTCCCAATTATTTTTTACACATATTTTTTTATGTTAATTTCCCTCTCTCCTCATATTCTCACGTTTCTGCTTCCCTCCACCCAATCTCGCTCCCTTCCCCTGTACTTTTCCTTTCTCATTACCACTTTACCGGACGCCGCCGGACACGAAAGCAAACTCCCCGTGATTTGTTTTCGTTTTTCCTATTTTGTTTCTTTTGCGCATTTTCAGAGCCTGCATCGCCGTCGCGATTTCACACAAACGTCGGGATCCATTGACAATTCGACGACGCGAAGCAGAGGACCATCGTACACCCCTTTTCGCGTTTTCGACCGTTTCCGTGCGCCTTTTCGACCGCTCCTTGGTCCTGCGCCAAGCAAACAGGGCGTCCGAAACGAAACGAAACAAAACGAAAGCCATCCCAAACAGAAACTCTCCGCGCGTAGCGATCCGCATCCGCGTCCGCAGTTGCAGTCAAGACGTCGACCAATTGAGCCCGTCCGGAACGCAGACACATCTCCCGCCATGGCCTACAACCAGTACCAGGGCCAGCCGGCCGGCAACCCGTACCAGGGCAACCCATACCAGGATGCTGGCGCCGCCGAGAACGGATACGGTGCACCGGTAAGTCGAAATCGTGTTGAAGCAGACGGAATGGCAAGCCTCGGCACCGACCGTGATCCGTGATCCAGGATTCGCAATGCTGTGGTTTGTATTGTTTTGTTTACGCCAGCATCTAACCGCTCTACTTGCCCTTTAGGAACAGCATGAGCTGCAGCCGTACGGCCAGGCAGACCCTGCAGCAGGCGCGCCCGTCATGTCGCAGCAGGAGTACCTGACCCAGGTATCAAACGTGCGCGGCGAGATCCGTGCCCTGACGACCAGCGTCCAGTCCATCGCCGGCCTGCATCAGCGCGCCCTCGGCGGTAACGACCCGAGCGCGGCCCAGCAGCTCGAGCAGCTTGTCTCCCAGACCCAGCTCAAGAACACCCAGATCCGCAACCAGCTCCGCATCCTGCAGCGCGACTGCGAGCGCACCTCTGACGGCACCCACGCCCTCAAGAAGCGCCAGTTCGAGACCCTCAACAACGACTTCAAGCGCGAGCTGCAGGGCTACATGACGGAGGAGAAGCAGTACCGCGAGCGTTACCGCGAGCAGATCTCCCGCCAGTACCGCATCGTCAACCCCGACGCGACTGAGGAGGAAGTCAACCAGGCCGCCGATGCCGACTGGGGCAGCGAGGGCATTTTCCAGACTGCTGTATGTATCCTCCCTTTGTCCCTTCTCTCTCTCTAGTCGTTGCGCATTCTTTCCTCTCTCCCATTCCTCTGCTAATCTCGTCGCAGCTCCGGACAAATCGCTCTGGCCAGGCTTCTGCCGTCCTGGGTGCCGTTCGCGCCCGCCACAACGAGCTGCAGCGCATCGAGCAGTCCATTGTTGAGCTGAACGGCCTGTTCAACGACCTCGACACGCTCGTCGTCCAGCAGGATCCCATCTTCGACCAGGT